GCAGTGGATACCACTGTCACCACCATCCCAGGAGCAACCATGGAACCAAAGGACATAATTTTCATGATTGAGAGCTATATATCTTCCCTTCCCAAGACCATGGTTCACTGTCAGTAGACATGGGATTTCAGGGTTGGGCACAGAGGGATGAGTGTGACGAGAGGATAAATAGTTGTGGTCCCCAAATACCAGGTTCTGCTCACTGGCTAAGTAAGCTAAGGCTTGCCTTTTTCTTTTGAACTTCATGTCTCTCTTGAATAAATTAAGACAAATGTCGTACCTTATCCTCCTCCATTTTTTATTGTGGGCCTTAAGATGAGATTTCATAAAACTAAAAGATGACACATGACTAAGAAGTGTGCCTTAGACGAAACAAAGGTCTTTGCAGGTAGCTGGAACTGTCTTCACTATTGCATATTAGCTGTGTGATTTTGGGCAGAATTCTTTCAGGGTGTTAGTTTTCTCATCTGTAAAATGGGAACAATGATAATGTCTACATGGCAGGGCTATTGTGAAAACCAGGGAAGGTAGGAACAGATGGAAGGAACACTATGCCAAGTGAATGATAACTTTGGTTGGGGAAAGGCGAAACCTTTTTCATTTGTAAAAGGTTATTTGTGATTTATACACAGGACTTCCTCAGTTCATGTTACAGTGTGAAGACAGGTCTTGTCAATGGTGAAGTGCTGGAAATGTCAGTCCTGCTTGTTCCCCCAAAGCCTTGCTTCTGGGTAGCACTTTTCCGAGTATTTGTTCTTTGTTTCTCATTTTAGATTTTCTTCTTATTACTGTATTTTGGTTCTCAGAGAGACAGGGAATTGGCAAGACTGTCTGTGAGGATGAAAGAATTTGAGAGCTGACCAGCATCTTTCATGTTTTTTCATCCAGAAGAAATGTGGGCAACCCTAAGGAAGGTGGATGCCTCATCCAACTCACTATGTGCTTTTTGAAAAAAATATTATTGATTTCAGAGAGGGAGAAATGGAAAGATCAATGATGAGAGAGAATCAATGACCTGCTGCCTCCTGTATGCCCCACACTGGGGATCAAATCTGCAACTCAGGCATGTGCCTTGATTGGGAATCAAATCATGACCTCCTGGCTCATAGGTCGCTGCTCAACCACTGAACCAGCACAGCTAGACACTATGGGGTATTTAAAGAAAATCTATTCAGCATTCGATGCCAATAGCTGGCTTGTTCATCTTTAGACCAACAGCTAGATTTCAGGTTGCCCTCCATTTTACAAACTCTTCTCTGGAAAAATACATAAAATATCAAAGCAAAGAATAGAATGCTGGTCCTAAGTATTGTATTCTTTAGGGGCCTAGCTTTTAAGGTCAGATCTAAAAAACTTTTGTCCGTTGGATGCTCAGACATCCACAGGGAAAGAAAGTAAATGCATTGATTACTTTTTTTTTTTTTTTAAATAATGAGCAAAATTTAGAACATTTATCAGTCAAAGGAGGAGCACAGCTCAAAAGCATGATCAACTCAGTTGCCATTAGTGAGAAGCATGACATTTTCACTGAACTTGGGAAACACACACACACACACACACACACACACACACACACACACTCTTCTTGATTCATACTAGCTTTGGTTCTTTCAATATTGAAATTAGAGCCATACATAGAAGTGGATTTCCTTTTATTGTCATCCCCTTCTCTGGGTTGGATTGCAAAAGTTTTGGGCCTTGAGATGTTCTCCTTGCTGTGTCTATGTGACCTATTAATTCATTTGGTGCATTTGGGACCATCCGTGTAATGAGTTTGGGCAAATGTGAAATGAGGAATTCAGGTCTTCCTTTTTCCTGAATTCTGATTCACCTGTTTGGCTTTAGGGGAGGACTGGAAGGGCATTTCCAAATGTGTCATAGATGAGTTTGCCTTTGGTTTGCTTTATCAGACCCAGCTAACCTGGTGAATCAATTATACCACTTTAGAAAAGGGCTCTGGAAATGGAAAAGAATATTGCTTAATTGCACTCCCTCCCACCCTGCCAGCAGGGCTGCACTTGACCATTCAGGGTCTATGTTGTTAGTCAAGGGAACAAACGCAAATCAACTCTTCCTCCCCAGAAAGTTGCACTAAGATCATTTCCTCGTTGTCTCCACTGGAAAATGAGATAGTTCACTATTTGTGAAAGGGAAACAGATCCTCTCACCATATCTGAAAAAAAATCATGCTTTTTTTTTTTTTAATCATAGCTATTTCTTTTATAGCTGTGACAATGTAGAAACCTTAAATGCCTTCTGAATCCTCAAGAAACATCTGCTGATAGCCAGTGATATTTTCATGGTGTATATTATGCCGTTCTGTTTCTCTGAAGATTGGGAAATAGTTTATTAGGAGAGGTGATTGATTCTCTGAAAGGGATGCTGGAGAAGGAGGACGACTATGGAGACAACCCATGCCTGCAAGGGTTTCAATTTCAACACTTTCAACACCTGTGAAATCAGTGTGTGAGATGATCTCTAGGACTCTTCCGGTCCTCACATTCTAAGACTTTGCCTGTCTCTAGTACCTTGAACAGTTAATTAAGCAGAGTTTTTCATTCTCTAACTGTGCCAGATAAATGAGCGAACTTACTCTATAAACTGAGCGTCTCAAGCCAATAAGGAAAACCTACCCACATCTCAGACTGCCTTGTGCTTGTTGATGTCAGAACAAGAATTATTGTGGTTAATCAGAGGAGGACACGAAAAAGAACAGCATGTACCTGGCAGAATTTGAATATCAGGGCATTACAATTTGCCAGAGTGTTCTTGAAAGTTAAATCTTGCATTACATAATTTTTTTTATCCCTTTCTTAAAAATGTTCCAGTTGGGCTGCAATGTTTTATGATTTCCTTTGCTTCACAGTTGAATGTATTGTCAATGATAAGGCTAAAATCCCCAGGTATTTTTTAATGTAAAAGGTTGAGGTTATGAAGCTAAAGGAGAAGTTTGAGCAAAGAAACTGCTATTGAAAACATTTAGAAAGTAAGAAGGTATACGTAATTTGTGAAAGCGTTTCTAAAGTGAATGTGATTCACCACTCAAATAAATACAAATTATTTAAAATTATAAAGGGTTATCTTAGCAAAGGCTTGATTTTCCTTTCTTTAGGGGTTCAAAGGGGATATATTCAGGTAGGCATCTTCTATGGTAGTATTTACAGAGAAATATTATAATGTTGTCCTCCAGGGGGCGTTAAATCTTCAGCAAAGCTCCAAATTCTCTGAAGGTCTTCAAATCCAGTTAGCCTTCAAAGCAGACAGGCTGGCTTCCTTCTCACTGGAATGCAGGAGTTTGGGGCCCATGTCCTGAATTTCACATCTCAGGCTTCTAGATTAGGCTTTACACTGTGTAGAAAGAGTAGAGTGAGCATGAAAAGCCAGTGGCCTTTGGGGGTGGAGATAGGAGGGGGGGTGTTGTCCCAATGTAGCCTGGTCTGAAAGCCCTATAGCAGGTCTGACCCTCATGCTTCATGCCAGTAACACTTTAGAGACAATTGATGTGTCTAAAATTATAGTGCTTTCTAAGGGCAGAAATGTGATTCCTGGAGGCCCAAAACTAACCTAATACAGATTAGAAAAGGTGATGTAGATAAAAGTGGCAAAGGATACTTCCTTCTTACCAAAATCCCACAAATGGCTGTGTTATTATTTTTTTTTCTCTTATTTTTTAATGCAACCATAGCTCAGCAGTGTGCAAACCTCTAGGTCTGGGAAGCCAGCAACTTCTATGCAGTGAAGTCTATGACTATACAGTACTACAGTATAGTGGTAAAGAGGTCTATAGGTTCTGGATTTGACTGATTGGGCCTCATTACCTGCTTTACTTGTTATAAGCTTTAGGGAACTGAATTCATTACTTCAACTCCCACATCTCTGATTCCTCATTCACAAAAGACTCTCTCATAGGGTAATTGTAAGGATTAATTAAGACAATCTCAAAAAAGTACTTGGTACATAGTTAAGTGTTCCATAATTACCATCAGTTACTCTTATTGCTGAGTCTGGAACCGAGATCCCCACTGTCTGCCTCCATTTCATCTCTCACTTCTCCGCGACATAGATTCCTTCAGACCAAATACCTCCCTACACTTTTAGCCCCTTGCTCTCTCTGCTTCCTCTGCCTTCCTTGGCTACATCACCATCTGATGAAATCGCACCCAAATATTGAGGATGATCTGTAATGGCACCCTAACATCTCCCGACTCCCTCCAATAACACACACACGCACACAATTCCCTACTCCAAGAACTAAACGAGCTCTCTCCTATTGCTGAACAATATCAGGGACATAATATCTTGAGGTATATACATTTGTTAAACCTAATATTGGTGCATTTTTAAATAGATAGCTTATATCTCTTTAAACCAACTCAGTAGGAACATAATAAGGCCTCAATCTTTGGAGAAAGGAAGACTTGGTTCAAAATCTGATACTTTCTACCAGGCAAGTCATTGAAACTGTTGTACCCACAGTTTCCTCCTACGTAAATGGGATGCAGTTGTCACTTTTTCATCCTGTAGTGAGGGCTTAGAGACATCGTAGTAGTGTAAGAATGCCTTGCACCGTGCTTGCGCACAGCTGATAGTTATTAGGACCTTCCTTTTTTACCATGGCTATTTCTGTTTGTCACACACCCCACTGAAGACAGATATTGTCTTTTTCTTTTCCATGTTTCTAGGATAGAGAAGAAGTAGTGTGTTTAGCTATAAAAAGACCTTAATAGCTAAACACACCAACTTTTAGATAACAAACACCTGGAGGCATCCCAATTGAGCAAGCCTCTGCAGAATGTGTATTCCCACCTGGGTTTACTAAGGCTCAGTATTCTAAATTCTGACAGATACTTCACTTGGTAAATAATTCAGCAATGGCTCCCCAGTGTACAGTAGGGTTTATTCATTAGGATAATTCTTTAGGTTCACCAGAGGTATCTGTTCCTCTTTAAAGCAATGGAATGACTATACTGTTTTCTTGACCAATAAGTCACTCTGTTTTCCATGGTTCAAAGTTAAGCTTTTATTTGGTTTTAAATTAAAAAAATAAATTTCATTATTAAATAGTGAGATGGAGCTAACTATGTTCAGATAGTAACATTATCTTATAATGTTATAACTTAGTATATTCTGACTTGGGAATATACCACCGGGGGTACAATTAAGGGGTGGATCATCTAAACTAAAATCATTTGTTGTGTTGTCATGTCTGTTAAAAGACCAACAGTGGCATAATTCAAAAGAAACGGAGATACAAAGTTTTAAATGTTTACAATGGGTGGGAGAAGTAAACCACTTATTCTACTGCAATTGCATATGAATTGCTTTCTCAATGCCAGTCAGTTTGGACACTATACCACAGTGCTAATATCATCGGGTTCGTCCGCTTTCTTTTGCCTGCTTGGCAGGGATTTCAAGTATTCAAGGTGTCTCCGGGCATCCTCCTGATTTTGCCTCACATAATACACCACGTATGAGATCACCATGGTGAACCAGCCAAACATGGTAACCAGCATGGCATAATCGGTAGTTTTTCTAGGGATGTTACAAAGGTCAGCATCATTGGCAGCATTGAGAAACGGTCTCCCGGCGTGTTCGTCCAACACAGAAGTCTTACAGATCACATTGTGGGCTGTCTCGTGATTGGACGCCATGCTCCTCAGAACTTGCTGTAGAGTACAGTCGCAGTGCCAGGGGTTGTTGGCAATTCTGGCCCTGGCCTTCAGGTTATTGAAGGCATTTTTGTGCACACTTTGAATCCGGTTGTCAGACAAGTCCAGAGTCTGCAAAGTCTCAGTGACTCCTTTGAAGGCATGCTCATCGATGAACTCAATGCCATTTTTGGACAGGTTGAGAACTCTCAGTTGATGGAGGTCCTTAAAAATCTCATTGGGAATAGATGTGATCTGATTGGAGTCCAGATACAATAAGACTGTTTCAGGAGGAAGATCTCTAGGGATTTCCTTGAGGTTGGCATTGCTGCAGGTGACATTTAAGCCCCCAGAGGAAGAACAAAGACAGCCCTTGGGACACATACTGGCAGAATGAAAGCACAGTATCATAAGAACAAAGCTTTGTAGGAGGAGACACATGGAGAGGGAGCGGGTCAACCACAGGTCTACCAGATTCATGCTGGAATGTCCGCATAATCACAAGCCCATTCCTCATTTGCTCCAACAAACAAGCATGGCAGCGGTTCCAGCTCTGTCCACACCGTTGATCTCCTTCTTGTATAGTTCAAAAGGCTGCCACTAGCACATGTGTCTCTTCATTATTCCCGTCCTCGCTTGGATACCTAAAGGAAAGGAAAGCAGATGCAATTAGATTTTTTTGCAATTAGGTACATTGCAATTAAAAGTGCTCTAGGCATCTGGCATTCTATCTAGGCAGGGGGGTTGGTTACACAGGTAATTTCCATTAACACCACTGGGAGTTATCTGCGTAATGGGAGTCTTCTGTTCAAATTCCAGTTGATGGGGGAGAAAACTGTCAATAAGCAACATTTCTGGATGATGTCACCTTGTTTTAGTTGTGCAGAATTAGAACAGACAGACCAGATTTCTTACATCTCTACTGGTTCTTTTCCTGAACCCCTTCAGTTCTACAGTTGTAAAATTTAATTCCACCTTCCTGCCTCTCTGCAATAATACACATTAATGCAAGTTAGCCCTGCATTTGTGCAGCAATGAGAAATAACAGTACAATTTCACAGGTAATGACCAGTATCTGTCAGGGCTTTTTAATGGGTTTCCAATTTGGAATATTTTCTCTATAGACATATCTTACTTGAATTCAGAAGTGAATAAATGCATTCCAACCTTCACCACAAACTGTTGCTAAAGACTGACAACCCAGAATCTCCATGAGAATTGCCTTTCATGTGACCTCCTGAGATTACATTCTGCCTAGAGGATGTCATTAACTGAATTTCCAAAGAATTCTTTTTCTGTTCTCCAAATAACATATCCCTCCGCAATGGGTTTTCAACTATGACACATCTCCAAGCCCTTTTTAAAATATATGATGAGAAATAAAAAATACTAGCCTTAATGAATTCCCCAATAACCTAATTTTTTTTCTTCCCAATCATAAATACATGGTAAGGCAAAAATAAGTTTACAGTTTTTAAATATGCAAAACAGAGCTTATTCTTGTATTATTATATATTTATTATATAGTATTGCATATAAACAACTTTAAGTCTACCTTTGCCTTTTTGAGAATATAAGTTAGCCCTCAAACCTACTCTCTTCTGTAGAGAGGACAGTTATCTTTGGGGTCAGTATGTAGAGGAGGTGAGTGGATCTTAGATTATATGACTTGCCCAAGGTCAAATAGCATGAAGGTGGTAAAGAAGGGACTCAAGCCAAAGACTTTGTTCTGACTCATTATTCTCATAACTTTCTCTTTCAGCCATCTTTACACCTCTTTCCCAAAATCCATCTGTCCCCTGAGGACAGTCAATATCCAAGTAACATTGCTTGTTTTGATTTCTGCTGCTGTTATGTTGCAGCTCAATTCCAAATGGAGGACCCCATGGACCTCCACTGAGGATTCCTCTGCATTATATAGGGAATCCATGCCTGCCTTCAGAGGATTCTCTCTCAAGATTGGAGAAACATTCATTCCTCTCACAGCAGTGAGCAACAAACATCTTTCAGCATGAGCAACAAATGACTCTCTGCAAACTTATCTTTTCTAAAGATCCCAGATGGATAAATACAGAGGGAAATGACTCCAAATGTTACGAAACTCACATAAGAGAAGATTAATGTGAGATGAAAATATAATGAACTGGGTTGTTAATCATGGAAAACATGAGCTTGGCTATGGCAGAATAGTGTGAATGTGCTTTTGGAATCCTAAGTCCCTTAAATGCCAGAGAATGTTAAAGAGGGACCCCTATGCTTACAAAGCCATCCATCAATAGCTCACATCATTTACAGTAAAATTTTCTCTTTCTTTCATGTTTTCCTTCAGAATTGCATTGCATGGCATTTACAGTGTCTAGTAATTATCTAAATGGGAGAGATAACAAAAAATAAACAGGTATGAGGGGATAACATAGACAGGAAAGAGGTCATCAGAACAAGGCAAAGGATGCCAGGAGTGGAAGGTACATCAGGGGGACACGGAAGATGGGAGACATGAATGTGATTAGAGAAAATAAAGGGTGTGCATGTCATCAAGCAATTTCCATCAAGTTTTGCTGAAAGGTGAGAAGCCTTCTCTGGAGGACACTCTACATCTCTTCAGAGACAAGTTAAGGTTCTTTCTGAAGAAAAGTGTTCTCCAATTTAGACTACAAGCTTCATGAAGGCAGGGACTTGTTTTGCCTCATGTAGAAACAACAGTTAACAAAAAGTAGAAAAGTACTCTGGGGTTGTATTCTAGCTATAGTCTTTATTAGCAGTGTGCTGCTGAGCAAGTTATCTAAACCTCACTTACCTTATATTCACATAAAGATTTAACAAGCACCTAATTATAAGGTTGATTTGAGAATTATAGGAGATAATCCACAATGCCTAATAGGTAGTTAAGAGCTCAATACATTTTTAGCTATAGTTACTGTTGTTATCCTAGATATATTCCCAACTCTTAGCCTAGTGCTTGACATGTAGTAAGGACTAATTATCTATTGTATGAATGAACCAATGAAGCACTGAAGAATCTAGCTGTGTCTTTTCTTCCCTGAGGTAATTACTTTTATTATGTTCAACATAAATATTGGCTCATGAAATGTCTATTGGTTTTAGATCTCAACCCAATAGTTTGGAAAACATCCTGAGTGTAGGCTGCAGATGAAAAGCAGAATAGACTTCTTTCTCAGTAGGCCCCTCTAGACTTACTCATGTTTCTCCAGAATTGTCAATCCAATGGTTATGGTCACAGACAAGAAATGGTTAGGGCACATCTTGAGTTCTCCACATCAGTGTGCAGTCCCTCTTGAAATGGAACATTTCATGCCCCATATGGTTCACTTATCCACTAGATGGAATGCTGATTAGGAGTACAAATCCAGAGTATCCCTTTCATTAAGAGGTTCGATTCAGATGAAGAATTTCACTTTTCTCTCTATGTTGTTTGATAAAAGGGGAATAAGTTTTGGAAATTGGATAGATTGCTGAGTTGCTATGATTTAGACCACGTGTCAAACACAAGGCCCGCGGGCCAAATCCGTCCCGCCAGGCCTTGCAATGTGGCCCGCGCTGTCATCACTGCACTCCGCTGCGTTTCCATCACAATGACAGTTTATGACTGTTCAGTAAACCATTTGGCCCACGATTTAGGCTGGATTTTAGATTTTGGCCCCTTCTTTGATTGAGTTCGACACCCCTAATTTAGACTCTAGAACTTCTACCCTCAGTCAGGACAGTGACAAGAGGTGCAGGCTATAGAGAGCTGAGCCCTTGGATGTCCAGGAGGCAGACAGCAAGGCCACCAATAGCGAGTCAAATCATCTCCAGCAGGGAGGATGGAAGAGCTGCCTCTCCACACTACTATACTGAAATACTTTTTCCCAAAGGAATCACCATCTTGTTATTGCCCTAAATTACTGGATAAGTCAACAGTGGCTTTTGGAACAGGAAGACATGGGGATATATGCCTCAGAGTAAAAAAGTGGCCATTCTTCTGATATCAGTATTGTGCAGCAGAGTACAGAGTTAAAGATGAGCCTGGAAACCTACAACTGATTAGGGTAACAATAGCAGCAGCAACCTACTTACTCCCTGCCCTGATAAGGAACAAGACCCACCAATGGGACAGACCAAATCCTGAGTTGACACTCAACCACTGAGCCACTCCTGGCTGGGTCATTCACAAAGTTGTTGTTGTTGTTGTTGTTGTTGTTGTTGTTTTTCTTTTTCTCTCTCATCAATTTGAATTCTATGTCCTGAATTAAAAGATTCAATTCTGCTTTTTAATCAAGTTATTCTGTTTGGTAGCAGAATTGCATGGGATGTAATTGGAAGAAATTGGAGTGTCTGGTATTTCTCTCTGAATTGTGCTCAGTTATCTCAGAAGAGCTTATGAAAGTTTTGGGGTTAGAAGCTTTGAGTGTCCCCTAATGATGAGAAGAAAGAAACAGGAAACAAGACAGGGTTGTTAATCAACCACTGAAAGAACAGCTTTCTCAGGCAGTCTGCTAAGGGCACTTTCTTTCCTTCTGGAAACAGTATGCAATCGTAGAGTTTATATGTTTACATACACACAGACCATTTCTAAATGGATGTAAAACAAGCTATTAATAATGGTTAATTCCAAAGTATGGCACTCAGGGACTGGCAGCGGAAAAGGAAGTATCTTTATTTTATACCCTCTGAATAGGTTTTTTTTTTTTTTTTTTTTTTTTTTTTTTTTTTTTTTTTTTTTTTTTTTAATAGAAATGAACTTTCCTCAACCTTTATTTTTTAGTTCTAAGTATTTTTAATTTTATTGTTTAAGGTATTAAGGTGTTAAAATAGTAGTACATGTTTTTCCCCTCCTCCTATTGACCTCCTCCTGGTCTCCCCTATCCACCCCCCCCCCCCCCACCAGCCTTTGCCCTCATCTCCCCACCCCCAGTGTCTTGCATCAGTTGGTTGTGTTTTAACTTATAGTATAAAGATGTTTAGTTTGTTTTTGTTTTACAATAAAGATTTAATACAAAAGAATGAGGGATTAGCTGGAAACCCAATTCAAATGTACAGTCAGAAAGCATCTTTTAAAAATATTTATGTTTTTATTGACCTAGAGAGAAACATCAATTGGATGTCTCCTGCACACCCCTTACTGGGGATCGAGCCTGCAACCCAGGCATGTGTCCTGGCTGGGAATCGAACCAGCAACCTTTTGGTGCAAGGAACGCTGCTCAACCAACTGAGCCACACAGGCTGGGCAGAGAGCAATTTTTGAGCACATAAAAGAGTTGGTCAGTGGTAGCTAAGAGGGTCAGATAAATGTGAAGACAATGAATTTTTAAAAGCTGAACATGTTTCAACAAGAGAGACTGGATTGCCCTGGACTCAGGATTGAAGGGTCCTGGGTTTAATTCCAGTCAAGGACAAGTATCTTGGTAAAAAAGGAAATGAATTAAGACTCATTCTCATTTCACTATAAAACAGTTGTCATTCATTTGGTATTTATTGCATGCCAGGTATTAAGCGATGATCTCATTTAACAGGATGGTAAAATTGAAATTCTGACTTGGTTCCTAGTTAAGTGGATATAGAAATCCAAAGTGAGGTGGCAAGTTGCCATGTGAAGGTTGACTGATATGTGTATCGCATCTCCTTGCCCACTCTGAGGGTAAAAAGCATTAAGAGTTACCTACCCTATCATCTCCCCAAGAGAAGAGTTATTACATGACCCCTGGAGCTGCAGGGCAGAATGTCCTAAAATAATAACCATGTTGATGCATTGTTTAGTGGTGGGATTGGGTAATATTTTGATGCTGGGGTGAGCCTTTACTCCCAGACTTTGCCAGACAAGGGATGGCATCCTATTTCCTATAGGTCAGATATGGCCACATGTAACAAAGATCCCCAGTGGAGAGTCTCTTGTATTCTGTCTCATTGTCCCTTCAGATTCCATGGTAGGACAAAAGGTCCCTGGCAATGAGAAAATGAAGGGAGGAAGGTTAGATTTTGGATAAGGTGCCATCTGGAATATAACCACTACAAGGGTCAGGGGAGACCTATGGGTAAGAGTTGTGATGGGAGAGTATAAAAGAACCCTGGGAGAGGTTTTGGGTAGAAGAGCAGAGAGAAGAAATCAAGCTACTCAACACATCCCTTTTCCCTTCCCCCTGAGTTTGGAACAATGGGGAGGGGAAAAATAGTTGAACATTAATGAAATTCAGAGCACAGGTTAATTCTTGAACTAGACATTGAAATTATCATATTTAATTTTTACTTTGGTTTAAATTAATTGAATTCATGACAAAGTAATGGTAGGACAATCTACTACCTAAGACTAAGCACAAGACTGTGGGACTGATGGACATTTTCACTCAGAGGCTAGAGGA